CGCTTCCGCCCGCGGCTGTTTTCCCCCGACTTTCAGAGTCAGGCAAGTTGCAGGTCGTGGACTCAGAAGACAGGGCCGCCGGTTCCTTGAATAGGACGGTCGCTCATGCCCAAGTACATTTTGTGAGTCCATGTGAGTGAGGCCTCCTTCTGTTCCCCCCTTCTCCTGTCCCCGCGTGCCCTCGCGCCCGCCGTGCCTCTCCTGTTTCTTCGCCTCCTCTTCGTGTTGGACGGTGCGGCCACCCCGGCCCCTCCGTGCCGCCACAGCGCGGCGTGACCCACGCCCTTGCGCGCTGTTCGGTACGGTCAGAGCTGGCGCCACTTGTGCGACTACTCCTTCCGTCCGTTTTCTTGTTTGGTGCCTGCGTTCCCCGATTCCGGGTCGCTTGCGTCTTAATGAGGGTCATTTTGTCCTTGGCACGTGCACCCACTGCCGCGGCCTATGCGCCGTTGCAGCTAATTATCTCGCCCTGTGCCCCAGCCAAGACCGTCCCGCCCCCTGGAGCTGTCTTTGGAGCTGCCAATTAAACAAGTATCGCCGCCAGCTTGTTTGCAGGTGCGATGGCTTGCCGACATTGGCGGCCGTGTTCGCAAATTCGCACCGTGCCGCATCCCGGACGCCGTTTCCGCTCCCTGACCGTTGCTTTGGAGCCGCCGACCAAAAACATATATCCCCACCAGCCCATCCAGAAACGATGTCCAGGCGAGTTGAGGTGATCAGGGAAGTGTGGCAGCAAAGAGGGGGACGGCCGAACCGTGCAAAGGATTGAGGAGGAGAAGGAGGATGTGGATGGATGGATCGATGAGGGAGTGGGAAGAAGGATAATGATTAGTAGGAGGAGGAGGAGGAGGAGGAGGAGGAGGAGGAGGAGGAGGAGGAGAAAGAGAAGGAGTAGGAGGAGGAAAGAGGAACAGGAGGAGGAGGAGGGCAAGCACAAGGGCACAGGGGCCAAAGGTCTCTTGGATGCCTCTCGGAGCCTCTTGGGGTATCTCTTGGACGATTCTTGGTGGCCTCTTGGGGCGTCTTGGGGGGCTCTTCGCGATCCTGGGGGGCTCTTCGGGGTCTTGGGTGCCTCGGGGGGGTCTCTCGGGGCCCCTTGGGGTCTTCTCGGGGGCATCCTGGGGGCCTCTTGGGCGCCTCTTGGGGCCATTTCGGGGCCATCTTGGGACCTCTTGGGGCCTCGTGGGCGGGCTCTTCGAGGTCTTGGGTGCCTCGGGGGGGCCTCTTGGGGCCGCTTGGGATCCTCTTGGGGGCCTCCTGGGGGCCTTTTGGGGGCCTCTTGGGGCCATCTCGGGGCCATCTTGGGGCCTCTTGGGGCCTCCTGGGCGCTTCTTGGGGCCATCCTGGAGATCGATCAAACAAGAGGGGAGCTTTAATTAGGGCCCCCCCCCTCAGGATGCCAACGTGGGGCCACAACCGAAGTAAAACCAATGATGTTGGCTTCCTCGCCGATGCCGTTTTGGACGCCCTGACACCTCGCGAAACCCCCGTCCAGGTCCAGGGGGGGGGGGGTAGAGGGAGGGGTAAACCCCTCCCCGAAGGGGAAGAAGGAGGGGTGGAAGAGGAAACGCCCTAAACCACCGACGCCCAGAGGGCTGGTGGGATTTGCATGGCGCGCCAGGCCTTCGTTGGGACAGACTTGAACGGGCCAACCTGGGCTCACCGTTTCTCAGGCTCCCTATCCGTCCTAATGTCGTTACCCGCTTCCTCTATCCCTCTCTGCTTTCTCCGCGAAGAGAGCGAGAGAAGGAAGG